GTCGTTCAGAAAAAAAGCTTTCAACCGCCATAGTGAATTTTACTGAAAGAGTATATCTTGAAACCAGATCTTGTCCCCATAATGAAAACTGTATTAGGAATATTGTATCATATACTAGGGAATATGGTGATGCTCTAATATCTATTGTAACTAGGTGGTCTGGTAGGTTCCTTAGCGCAGCTTTTTATGCGCCTTAAGGGGGTTTTCTCCTCAGAGGCACTTGGACAATTCTTTCACTACTACAAAACAATTCTTGGTCCCACTAGTCAGTGCCGTAATGCGACCCGTTGCTCCTACGTTGACAAGATGAAGTAACAAGTTCCCTGGATCATTATCAGGCCCAGCACTGCTTTCAAAAGTAACTCATATTACTACAGGAACACTGAGATTATACGCTAAAACTCCGGCCAAGAAATATCGGCGTTTTCCGTTGTTGTCCCGGTGAGTAACTGCTCCAGGGTCCCTGTTACGAAACCAGTGAACTTTAGGATTCCCTCGATATTGACTGTACTGGATATCTTGCCACAGGACACTGAACAAATGGGCTTTGGAAAACTGAATCGGAGTATGGTTCTACTTCCGCTCGTGTTACACAGGATGGAGAATCCTTTCTGATCACAAGTCACTTCGGCTTTTATATTGTCCCGAGAGCACTCCACTCCACATCTGTGAAGGCACCCTTCGCGCAATTGTAGCATCCCTTTAATTCTGTTTCCTCAATCTTGCAATGGCATCATCTACCAGTATGGAGGGATTCGAAACGTCTTCAAAATTTACCACGAATTCTGACATGACCATATTGGTTACCCTCGCTATGACTGCGACGTCTTGCTGTAGGAATGTTAAGGATGGATAAACAATGGTAAGCGATTCTGGAGTATTGAACCATGTTCCAATTGGCAAAATCCCTGCACCAGCAAATCGCTTTTTATTCTGCAGGATAACCTAAGCAGTGCTAAACAACTGAGCATTGACGGTCACGGGCATTTGCAAAGTCTGAGCATTGCAACGCTGGTCTTGCGTCTTGTCTTGAGATGGTTGTTTCTCTTGAATCCGTGATGAATATAGTGGCGAGTAGAGGTTTTGGTGGAGGGGCTAGGGAGGCAAATGTGCCGCTGAACGTATCCCACTTCTAGGGTATATTTGGGAATATTTCGGCGATGATACTTGATGTCTTGTCCCTAGACCTATCAACGCTGCTGTGTGAAGAACTATCGAAGGTCACCCAGTCATCGGCGGGTAGATGACTTACTGTGGCATCGGGCTCATGCCATCCTATTGCAGTGAGGAGCGTCCATAGACATGGCAACACTTATCGGTTCTAGGTATATCCGATGAAAAAGAGGACCAGAGCTCAAGAAAAGACATCCGCACCCCAGTCCTCCTCATGATTCTACAGGCGGTGTTACCTGGGAATATGTTGCCACGCTCCAGCTCCGAAACAATGCTTGAGGCGTTAACTGATCGTGAGCCACATTTGTCGTCCTTGCAGGATCCCCTTATGAAGCATCAGTTGCCAACAATTTAGTGCACAGTGTCCCTTGTGAAAAATTTCGTTTCTGCCCGCAGCGCAAGTCGACAGAATTCCATTTTTGGCGAACCTCGTGTATCGATGTATCGTTGTGGGAGAGACGCAGACAAGCTTCCCGTTTAAAGGCAGCGATTACGATAAGAGAGGAAGCGCATCGGGAAGCATGTGCACCACACGAAGCAGTTACTTGGCTGCCAAGGAAGCGAGTGTGGCGCTTTCACGACGAAAGGTGCGCTGGTTGCTGAGCAGGACTTCGAAAGCACTCCGCCCCAAAAGCGATCCGCCCACTAGTTTAGTTGGTGATTTGGACGAGCTGCGTTGCCAGCAGCGGCACAACTGGAGCAATCGATTGTGGTTTGGCATGGTGCCACCAAACGCGTTGCGGTGAACTCGTTCATTCACCTCGTTTCACTTCGTCCGCCTTCTGATCTGTTATCCCTAGAAAAATAGGACCCCTTCTTGCGTTTACTTGACGGATTTCTCTGCTTTTTTCGCCTTTGAACATCATCTAGTCTCTCTGAAGTCTCCTACAAATTATCGTAATCTCTGCATACGCGTTGATCTTGAAGATCTCGGATAGCCGTATCTGACACGGTCTTGAAGTGTATATTGGGCAAACTGTTGAATAGTTGCAAGACGTCAACCATTTGACATCCATTCGAGACATGGAGCAGTAAGCACAGAATGGCTATGACCTCGGCCAGGTTACGACGTCGAGCAGTTCGTTTAACTCTATCGCCGTAAAAGGTCTTGATATTGCGTATAGCGACTTTCCGTAGTTCCCATCCGATATTGGTTATTATTCGTACCGGACGCCCCACAACTAATGGAACGTAGAGGAACACGTAGCATCCCGTAATCACAAAGTAGAGTATCGTTATTGTGGCTAGCAGTGCTCTTAACGGCCAGCATTCGGGATTTAGGACATTAGCGCTGCAGAATGTGCAATCCACATGCTGGCAATAGGGTGCTGTTGGACAGACAGTCTCAACGGCACTAACGGACTCGGTGTTCGTGTACTATCACTTCAGGGGGAAACTCACATTTTCTCTTTCATTTAGCTTGTCGAATAGGACACAGTACTGTTCCCCGCAAACTTCATAGGGCACTTTTCTGAATAGTGCAGTTCGTACGCCACCTTGAGAACATCGAATTGTTCTTCTAGGGGTAGGGATTATATTGGATGGTGAACTCAATCCTTCGGGTGTCAGGATGAGAAGTATCGTGAAGAATACCTACACCAACGAGAAAGAACAATATTTTTATGACTTTAACTAGAAACGAATATTAGTGAACTACATGATAGATAAAACGACTCCTTAAAGAGAGTCCTCAAAAAGATGAGGGGCCTATGGCCAGTGAACTAGAATTAGAAATCCAGGTTGATAAATTTCAGAAGACATTTTAAGGGCCGTACCGCAAAGTTTATGAAAACTGAACCGCTCGAAGTGGGTGTAAGAGACAAGAAGAGTAGGGCCGGAACGTGACGAGAGCCACCGTCGTTGCCGAGGGTGGGATTCCCGCACGATCATGTTGATTGTAGGGGTCAATTGCTACGGTGACCACCGCGGGCGTCGCCGCACCCGAGGGTCCCTCGGAGTGATCCTCGTGATACACGACACTCCCGCGCCTCCAAAAGACCCTCTATGGGCGTAAGCCTCAGGCTTCCGCCTTATGGCGTAGCGCGCGACAGCTGCACGTCGACCCGCTGCCACTTGCAGCGAAAGAAAACAAAAAGGGACCACTGAGCATCGGATCTTTGCTTCTTCAGAAGGGGCTTTCTTCCACAGAACAACCTGCTTCAATTTCTGATTCCAAATATAGACTCCTAAAAAGTTTGTGTGTTGTTAATTTCTCAAACTTCTCATGCAGTGAGTTAGTAAAACACAACAATAAATGAACAGATAAGAAGGAGTTAGTAACAACTTGTGAAAAGAATAAAAAGGTCTTTGACGAAAACACCGACGCAGGTCTAAAACCTATCATCGGACGAACAAGTTATCCCCTCAAAAGGATTCGCCGGACAAATTGCCGCTATCCCGGAATGAACTAGCATTTTTTGACTGCATAGGGATGCCTACTTAGACTGAGATGCCTACTTAAGCTAGAACAGACCATTGGGTGAAAAAACGAAACACTGAAATAGTTTCTCGAAAGTGGAATGCTTCAGAACAAACAAAACACTGAACAAAGTCATAAAATGCAACCTTGGGTTAGTTTGAAAATTGGATTATTAGTGAACTATCCTCTTAATGTGTCTTAACTGTCGTGTGCCTTAACTATCTCTGCTTAATTAAAGCTGAATAAGTTGAAAAACAGAACGCCACACAGTTAGGAGAACGAAATTCTGAAGTTTTAGAATTCTGAGTTATAAGAAATGAAAATATATGACCATATATGGGTTGTTTTTCAGTGTGTTTACCACGTCATCGCTGTTTGGGGAAAACCCCAAGTTTTCTTTTTCATTCGTGGGAGTACGCAGGCGTGGAGCCTCTTCTCTCTAGTTTTCGGGAAAGTCCAATGGATCGTCGACTCTCTCGCGATCTCTACATGGGCGAGCGTAAGGGGGTCGGGATATCACGTCCGGTGGAGGTTTCTGTGGTCCTGAGGCGAACTCCATCATAAAACTGCTCTGGCGACAAGGTTATATCCGAGACAGCCCATGGATTCTTAAGACAAAATGTGCCATGATGACCGTCTTCCTTACAAATGCTGCAAGGGTCTCTTCTTATACAGATGCCGTAATGGCGTTTTGCGCAATTGCCGCAGAGACCTGTTCTGTCTGTTCTATCGAGTCTGCTGCTAAGGTATTTAAAAGACGGACAGTCAGAACAGGTGTTCACGAATGTTTGATCTACTGTAACGGCGCTACTCCTTTACATGAAGCAACTGTACTAGCCGGGGGGTTGGTTTCTTGTCATGGCACTCTCGCAAAAATTTTACAACTGCAGCAAGACTCTCCTTCTTTCTTTTCTCAGCTGCACTCTTTGCTATTTTGCATTTGCTTCCCTATTTTTTGTGTTTTTGTTCCCATCTTCGCCATATCTTCTACTGTTAAGATGACACGGGCTTATCTATCGTTGGGGAGGGTGTTGCCTTAATTTGGTTTGCAAATTGGTTGGGCACAATGTCCAGCATTCAATGGGATGTGGTGTTTGTTGCTAATATCGATGCATTTATACTTTCGTCTAGTCGTTCTCCCTCGGTTAACTGACAAATAGGCAATCGCTGGTGTTATGCTGTTCTCCACCGACTCGGGTGGACGACTATTTGGTGAGCTGGTGTTTGATTGTGGGGTGCTGTTCAAACTTGTTTAAATCGCAGAAACGAGTGACCCCACGCTCCGGCTTGGTGACTGGAAGAAGTTTGCTGAATTATTCGAAGTGAACCTAAATCGCCTCTCACGGCGTTTCCACCCGCGTTCGCGTACAGCTGACTGTCCTCGACTGAACATACCAAGACGGGACACAATATATAAGTCGCACTAATACAACGACAATCTGGAAAACTAATACCCAACTAGCAAGCAGTGAAAGATTAATCGATCTATCACGTTCCCTTAAACAATGTCGTTCCTGAAAACGTTGCTAAATGTAGGGTATCTTCTATCTATGTACTAGATACGAAGAATCAGAGCATAAATCGCAACACACGCGGTTTCCTTTGAGATTTTACTTTTTCACAATTCAAGGGCATCGGTCTACTGCAATTATGACGGATTCTAACATTGATGATGACAAAGCTGGTAATTTTTTCTTGGGTATCAACGTCCAGCTATGAAGAACAATGTCAAAAGAAAACAAATGTGTCGCGAAACGTATTCTTCAACATGTGCTTGAACTAAAAGTTAGCATTATGCATAAAATAATATCATTAAGCTGAATTGTCGGCAAATTTGCTCAAATGTGATGTACTAATGTGACAAAAATGCAGAAGTGCAAATCATGGTTTCGGTGAAAGTGAAAGTTTGAAGTTATGCCCCAATCTCAAGTTCTTACTCATATCATGAAAAACTCGCTGTTGGATACGCGATAGTTTGAACTAAAATCATCAAAGTGAATACGTCAATGAACTGAGGCGAACAATGCATTGATGAACGCTTTCGTTTCTAAAAGTGTGCGCTGACAAGCAAAATCCAGAAAATACGATTTCGCGCGTAGCCGCCTTAACAAGGCTGTTCTTTGCGCTGGTCAGTCAAATGTTGTGAACTATTACTGAGTTCTATTAAGTAACGAACCGTGAGCGAGTGTGAAAACGAACGATTGAAATGATTAGACAAGAATAAAGCGAGGAATTAGAGCAAATAATGGCCTAAAGGCGAAAATCGGAAATTAAGATTTTGCTGCGCTGATACGCAGCCGCTGGATAATCGATTTCGATCTATTCGTGGCGGGACCCACCACTTTTGTAGCTTTGCCTGCCATTAGGTAATCGATATGGACAGATTTTTTTGTTATGTTTTGTTTTAATTTTGCTTGTTTTGTGAATGGTTTTGTTTGTTTTAGCGTGGATTTTCTTAGGGTTAAGAGTTATTAATGAAGTATTCTTGTTTTAGCCGCTCTTGGGAGTTGTAATCTTAGCGATGTTGTACTATTGTTTTGCGATTCACGTAGTTCGTGTCTGTTCTAGGCGGTAACTCCTAGCGGAACGAGTTGAAGTTAAAAGAAAGAGAAGAAGTTAATTAAACGATGGAGGGGTTTATTTGCACCTGTTCTGAGAGTAATGACCTGATCGAACCATTTGAT